GTGTGTGTGTGTGTGTGTGTGTGTGTGTGTGTGTGTGTGTGTGTGTGTGTGTGTGTGTGTGTGTGTGTGTGTGTGTGTGTGTGTGTGTGTGTGTGTGTGTGTGTGTGTGTGTGTGTGTGTGTGTGTGTGTGTGTGTGTGTGTGTGTGTGTGTGTGTGCAGCAGAATGATTGAGTTTGATATTTCTGAGTTGGTTTTGTTTGTTGTTTATTGCCGTCGGTGTGTTTCTTCATTCTGAAACGCTGTGTTGTGCAGAAATCATGTCTGATTAATAATTCTGTGTGACTGTTGAAGTGCTGATCCGTGTGTGTGTGTGTGTGTGTGTGTGTGTGGCACATCTCTCCATTAACGAGTGTGTCAGGCTGTCAGCAGTTTGTTGTTTTGGGATGGAGAGAGAGAGAGAGGAGGAAGAGGAGGGTGATGAGATGAAGACGAGTCACTGGAGAATGAGTCACAGATCAGACATGATCTCTCTCTCTCACACACACACTCATTATCTTTCTCACACACTAACTCACACTCACTCTTTCTCACACACACACATTCTAACTCACTCTCACACACACACTCTAACTCACTCTTACTCTCTCTCTCTCTCTCTCTCACACACACACACACACACACACTCTCACACTCTAACTCACTCTTACTCTCTCTCTCTCTCACACACACACACACACACACACACACACACTAACTCACACTCACTCACTCTCTCACAGACACACTCTCTCACACACACACTCACTTTTTCTCACACACACACACACACACACTAACTCACTCTTTCTCTCTCTCACACACACTCACACGCGCAAACACACTCACATGCACTAACTCTCTCTCTCTCACACACACACACACAATTGTTTTGTGTAAAGAAAGTGAAGCCTATTTTATGATATTATTTATGACAGTTAAGCTCATTTTCTACAGAAAATATTTTATAATGTATTTGAATATTTTACTTGAACTTACTGAAAATACTTTAATCAATTGATTTAATAATATTATATTTAATAATGAATTAAATTCAGACATCAAATACCACCATGGTGTATAAATACTTTCAAATATTGTAGCTATATCAACTTTTTTTTCCCAAAAAAAAAACCAAAACAAAAAAAGCAGGTGACCTTGTCCCTCGTCCTGACAAAGAATAATTTGATCTGTTCCTGTGTGTGTTTGTCCCATCAGCTCTGCGCATCATATTTCACTGTGTTGATCTCGCTGCCTCATTAAAACACACACACACTCTCTCTCTCTCTCTCTCTCTCTCTCTGCAGTAGGGTTGGCTGGTGTGTTATTGCGGTCGGTGGGGGTTGGATCTCTCACTCTCTGTGTGTGTGTGTGTGTGTGTGTGTGTGTGTGTGTAAAGTGCAGGTTTCAGCAAACTGGAGCTCACATATGGCGCTCGCTTTGTGTCATTCGATTCCTAGCCAAGCTTAAAGGCGTGTTAACGTGCGTGTGGAGAACGTCTGTACGTTTTAACGACTGCCTTTCTGGACGTCTGCCCGTCTTAACGTCTGCCCGTCTTAACGACTGCACGTCTTAACGTCTGGAGCTAGGCTATCTCCATTCAGCTTTTTTTTTTAATTATTATTATTCAGCCAATGACTGAATGGCGATCCGTCTTAAGTTGTGGGTTTCTATCGTTGTTAGGACTATGTTGTAGCCTAGCTCCTTTCGTTTTCATATAAGGGGGCCAAGTATTTTTTTATTATGATCTGAGAAACAGACTTCTCACCGGCCTATACTGAAGTAGCTATAGTCCATCATACAAACTAGACCACAGCATTATAAATATAATAATGTTTCAATGTTTCGTTTTGTGTAATAAAGCATATCCTATAGCATAGCCTATCTTTCTGACAGGCGGAGGGTGAACCAAGACGCGCTTCCCATTTAAAAACAAGTTTCAAGTTACTTTTCACGTGACTGTCCGCTCAATATCCGCTCTTTGCCAGTTTCACATTTGTCTAAATATTACAATAGGCTTTTGTTATTTAATTTTCATTTATGTTGATTATGAACAGTGAACAGCATGAGTAAGAGCAACATCATAGGATGCGATATGACGGGAGACAAGTGGGTCAGACATGATTTTGACCACTTCATTAAGTTTTGTTTTGTAGAAAGACTTTCTTTAAAGTGAATTTCGTTTTGTATCAATTATGCACGAGCATGCATGGGAATAGGCTATACAGGCTAATAATAATACAAAAAATATAGATATAGTAGAGTGGCAGTGGGTGGAATTATATTCTGAAATTCTATGTTATAAAAAAATCGTTATAACGAGTTGTAGCCTAAATCCCGAAATAAAGGAGCTCGGCCAAACAAATATGAAACTACTAAAATAAATATAAAACCGCCAGTAGATGGCGGCAAGGCACTGTTCTATTGACATTACTGGTTAATGTTCAAACTATTCTTTCAAAAAAACAAAAAACAAAGAGGCTATATTTTTAATATCCACAGAACTACTCCTTTAAGACAAAAGTAGTTCTGCTAGTTCTTTGTTCTGCTGTGGTGATGTTTGGAACAATTTTTTTTTTTTTTTTATTGTGTGAAATGTCATTACCATATAGTTTATTTACAGGCATTCTGGTTTTCTAATAATTTTTTCAAAAGCTAAAGACTGCTCATTACAGAAATATTAAAATAAATATTTACAAATGTGTTTTTTACTTGGTATTTTTTTCTCAACTTTTGGTCTCAATTGGCAGTTAATTTTCATATATTGCGGGTTGATATTTTCCTAATTATGTTACCCAGTTAAACATTATGTGAATTTAAAGTGACTGCGTTATACGTAAATTGAAATATAGCTAGCCTAAATATATATGCCGTTGTTGGTTCCAATGACATGCTACATTTTAATGTTTTAATGACAGCAAGCATTTCTTGGCTATAAATTTTGCATTTCACCAATGAAAGGTAAAGCATTAAATCAACCAATGATCAACCAGTTCTCTGAAGTAGCTCAGAGGTGCATCTCATGAAGCTTCATCTGGATATCTAGGAAATACTGAACAAGTACACTTTCATATCGACAACATCAATAAGCATTTTGAATATCTTGTTTGTGAGCAAATACACAAGGACTATTCAATGGTACTGATATGTTAATTTACATAAATACCACTTTTGAGAGATGAACTAAGGATTTGAGGAGGTATAGGCTTTTGCAGGCAATCCATGGACTGCTATAATTATTTTGAGAAATGCATTTACTGGTTTGCAAAACTTAAGGATGATTCAAGAAACTACCAAAGTGACTGAGAAAAACTGTAAAATGACATTGAAGGCAGTATGTGCAAAGGGATTTAGTGAATGGATGAACATGATTTCATGAAGTACAATGTTCCTGAATCAACATCCTTTTTGATCATTGAGCAATATTACTACAACTAGATTTGAGGAATAAGTTTACAGTTAATGTCAATTTTCAGGATAGCTATAACCAGCAGTGTGAGGTTTACACAGCCTAAATGTTTGATTGTCGGCTATAGACCATTTCACAAGATGTAAACAACACTGGTCCAGAAGCACTTCCTGTTTCAGTTTGTAACTGTTTTTTTTATTTCACATGTAAAGAAAACATCTTAAAGATGTTTGTTTAACTTTTTGATTCAGTTTTAAATGTTCTGTTGGTTGTATTTTATCCCAGCTTTTATGTAGTGTTAAAAAACTGAAACAGGAAGTGCTTCTGGGCCAGTGTTGTTTACATATTGTGAAATGGTCAATAGACAATTTATTTATTATCAGAGGAGTTTTCGCAGGAGTTCCATCAGTCGCTAAATAAAAAGAGCATACTTTGTTCTCTTTCTTTATAATCTATTCACACTTTAAATAAAATAGTTTTGTTTGTCATAAAGGAAAGAGTGAATCCAAACTGTTCTGTGGGTCAGTAATTTCCTATTTAGAAAGTGGAGATGGTCAAATAAATGCTGCTCTGCTGCCACCTACTGATTAAAGTGTTCATCTCATCTTATTCTGTTTAAAGTGTTTGTTTTTCCTGTAGGTGAAGACTATGCAGCGTTTGCTCCTCTTACTGTATTTATATGGGCTGTCAACTGTTTTGCCTGACTTGGGCAAGATTTTTGTATGCTCTCAACGGTAGCAAAAAATGTGTAGTATGACTAGACGACATTTATATATTATTAAATAGTACATTTATGTTAAAACATTTTTAATTTGAATGATTAATTACTTGTTCAGAATAAGAATAGCAGTAGCCTGATCCAAGCAATCACAGGCTAACTAATTTTAGTTTAAAACCCAATAAACTCTAAAATGGTTTCTGAATGGTTAATTAATGCTGGATGCAGCATGAGTGAACTCGAGGCATGCAGACTGTTGCTGGCTTGCTGCAGAGCATTAACACATCTGAAACACACTAATATATAATGATAAGACTCGGTTTTTCTGAATTTTTTTAGCCCATTTTATTTTTTTATCTCTGAAGATCGAATAATCAAAATACATGCCATAGACTTTTATTAAAAAGTTACATCTATCAATGGTACATTACCAGACATTCAGCATTATAAAAATAAGTGAATGTCCAAAATAAGTCTTGTTTGTAAACTTAGATTGTGGCAGACGTGCAGACGGGCAGACGTGCAGACGTTCAGACGTGCAGACGTGCAGACGTTCAGACGGGCAGACGGGCAGACGTGCAGACGTTCAGACGGGCAGACGTGCAGACGTTCAGACGGGCAGACGGGCAGACGTGCAGACGTTCAGACGGGCAGACGTGCAGACGGGCAGACGTGCAGACGTAATCCACACGTTAAACTTTTAACGTGACTCCGCCGTGACGTCTGCATAGATCAACAGCTACACGTTATTGACGTGTCTACGTGACGTGATATTTGCGTGTACGTCTCCATTTGTTTTATATGGAGACGTACACGCACGTATTCACGTGTGTTATCTGTCTTGCTTGTCAGTCTCGTCGCTGAATGGAACATTCCGAGCGCCATACTCACACACCATTGTCCTCTCAGATCACAGTGTGCGTGCGCGCGCGTGTGTGTGTGAGTGAGTGAGTGTGTGTGTGTGAGGAGGACGCTGCACGCATCTTCTCACTGCAGCACTGCTGATGTTCCTGCTCTGAGGAATAAAGGGATTCCCTGTTCACTGGGATGTGTGTGTGTGTGTGTGTTTGGAAGAGGGATTTAACGCTCCTGACGGACACTAATGGAACCGGACCTGAACACCGCTGTCGGATCGCGCGCGTCGAGGGGGCGTTTTGTGTGAAGAGCAGCGCGTGAGCGCGTGTGTGTGTGTGTGTGTGTTTGAAAGTCAGCTATGCGGTCGGAGCGCATGAGTCGTGTGTGTATCGTGGTTCTGGAGGAGGTTGAAGATGACGAACCTTCCTCTCTGCATTCCAAAGCCACTCCGGACCACATTTCCCAGAATTCCTCTCAGGACGAAAAGGTGAGGTGGCTGATTTGACTATATGATAATAGTTTAGCTATCTGGTGTGTGTGTGTGTGTGTGTACAGCTGCAAGTATCAGTGTGAAAGAGAAGAAAAGCTAATTGACTCTGTTGCTTTAGTAGTTGCATGTCATGATCCGTCCCCGTTATTATCTGAGACAGATACAGACATGTTCATCCAGGGTAAAGAGATATTTGGTGCTGCCAGCTCAGCTGAGGTCCAGAAATTTCTTTGAAAACCCTGGGTCATCTGACCTGCTGACCTTTGACCTCTGGACGGAAATGCAGCTGTCAGACGCAAATGTCACAACCGCTTTAACACGTTCTTACAGTAAATAGACGCCGGCGTTAACTGAGATGAATTGCAAAGGCCAAAGATGTCCATCAAAAATGACAAAATGCTGCAGTAAAATGCAAGACCATGTAATGCAGACATAAAGAAACCTCGATCGTGCTCTCTTTGAGATTCATATGAAAAGATATTCACTAAATTAGCTTTTAGGTTTTATTTAAGAAAGATACATTTGAAAACTTTTATTAATTGTTTTTATTTTAATATTTTAAATCTAAATTAATAATACGCTTACATTCTTTACATGCATTCATTTAAAGATAAACTTTAAAAACCTTATGAAATTTTTTAAATATATTTTTTCCAATATTTTTTTTTTATTCTTTATCTTAGGTTTTTTATTTAAACTCAAATTGAATAAATGTAATTTTAATTGACTTCTAATATTTATTTGTTTTTATTTTTGTATTTATTTTTTAATAAAAGATCAACTTAAAAAAATTGTTTATTTTTATTTAAATTTATTTATTTATTTTTTTTGTTATTCATAGAGCTAAAAATATTAATAAAATCTCAAGTTTCTCTGCCATGACTGTAGCGCTAATGCTCACTAGCAGTGTTGAGAATGCTACATGTTTTTTTTTGCGTTATGATTTGTGTTCTCACGTTTCAGACCAAAATGGTGTGTGTGGTCCTTGTGTAGCTAAAAGTGTTGTTGATCAGTGACGACAGCAGGTGTGTAGAGGGAAACTCTAGACAAATCAGCAGGATAATCAGCAATTTCAGTCCTGTGGATGTTGTCCTTTTAATAGTTAAAAGTAGTTCTGGATGTTCAGGCAGTTTTTAGGACCTTCAGGCTGAAGTTTGTGCTGTTGTAACAAGCCACGTTTCCTTGAACAGAAGAAACCTGCATTCCTTCTTTTACGGCATTCCCTCCCGTCTTTCCTTCATTGTTATTAAAAACAGAGTCTGCCTTCTGCTGCTGCATTTTCATGAGTTTGTGATGCAGTGTGTGTGTGTGTGTGAGTACATTCAATAAGTGTCTGCTACTATAAATATTACAGTTTCCTGTAATAATGACATCTGAGAATGCAGAGTGTGGCTGGTGGGCGGGGCCAAACAGGGTGTGGCTGGTGGGCGGGGCCAAACAAGGCGTGGCCGGCCTGTAATGTAGCCTGACCTTATTTGGAATAACCTTTAATGAGATTGATATTTATGGGATATTTTCATCGGTTTGGTTACAGTGATATTTTTGTATTATTTATACATAATATTTTGAATTACCAATTATTTTTTTATTACTATTTAAGTTTTTATTTTTATTTTTTTCATTTTTTCATTAGTTGCCAAGGCAACATTTGTAATTTTATTTAAATTTGTAGTTTTATTTTATTTTTAGTTTTTAGTTGTTTTTTTTTCAGCTTTACTTCAATTAACAAAAGTTTGTTATAGTTTTAGTGAACAAGCTGATGTAGCCGATATGACAGACTTGCGCTGCGGCTGCACTTTACTGTATTTTACTTTTTTAAGTGACTTCAATCATATTTCAAGCAAACTTAAAACCATCATGGAGAAGAAAATAATCCATCATTTATCAGCTTTAAAATATCGGGCAAATTTTCCTATCGGGCCGATAACAATAACATTAAAAATGAAATATCAGCCGTTACCGATGTGGTGGCCGCATTATCAGCTAACATGATTATTGGCAATATTACCCAAAATCTCTATATATAGTTACTTTTCACTAATAATCTGCTCAATATAAAGGTTTAAAGTAGGGCTGTCAAACGATTACAAAATAAAAGTTTGTGTGGGTGCACTGTGTGGAATTATTATATATATATATATATATAAATACACACACATGCATGAATATATTTAATGAATATTTTCATGTACTGTATATAGATTCATATATAATTTATATTATATATAAATATTTTATATATAGATAATATTTTTTCTTAAATATACATGCATGTGTGTGTATTTATATATATATATATATATATGATATCTGTTTAAAGTTACGTAACTGAGCACAGAGGCACAGTTTGACTCTGAATCTCTGATGGACTGATTTCATACACTATTAAATGCATTTATTTCATCCCGAGCTTGAATGGATTTTCCTCTTTGGCGTCTCGATGAATCAATGGTTTCCTTTCTTCTGCTGTCTGTAACGAAGCGCTTGCCGTTTGATTCTCAGAATGCATTTCTGCATAGATCCGAACACAATATTTCGTTTCAGTTTTGATCAATGTGATGATTCTCTCTCATTATTTCTCCACAGCCCTCTCTGATTAAAGCCATCTTTAACGTGGACGCAGATGAAGTTCGCTCTCTCATATTCAAGAAAGAAGATGTCAATGTACAGGTAAACGTCCATTACTGATTATTGTTTGGGTGAACTTTCCAATCAAATCCCATTGAAGTTCTCAGTAAATGTGGCCGGAGACCAGTTCATTGATCTCGCAGTGATGGATGGTCTGGCACATTATTCCTCTTAGTTTCGTAATGGATCTTCATGTGAGAGGTTGGAGATGGTTATTTTACTGCTCACTGTTTAATGCACAGTCTGTGCTCATGGCCTGGTCTGGAGCGACGCCCATTTGACTGCCAACCAATCAGTGATGGCCTTCTGGGTCACATGACTCGGTGTGGCTTGGCCTCCTGTTTTCCATTCTCATTCCAGACCAGATGGAAAACAGAAGCCTGCAGGGTGGCATGACATGGAGAATGAATGATTGCCGCTCTTTGGTAATTGCCTTTATTGATGGAAGTGTAGAAGGAGCTTTACTCGGGCATCTGGAGGAATGTTTAAAGCTACAGTGAGCGTGTGTGTCTCATGTTTCTGCACGCTCTCTCAAGAGATCAGTGGCCGCATTGATCAGACACACTCAGAAATGCATCATTGTGGCATGCGCAAGAATCCAGTGTGTTTGTGTGTCTCGTATATCACACTCCCTGCTGAAACCGCACATGCATCAAACGCATGCAAATACAAAACGATCATTTTTGATGTAGCATAAACAGCAGATATTTTTATTTATAAAAATATTTATATTTATAATATTAATTTTTAATAAATATATATAAAATATATACATGCATATATTTCTTAAATATATACATGCATGTGTTGCTATTTATATATACAAATTAATTATACACACTACACACACATATATTATGTAAACACAAACTTTTATTTTGGATGCGATTAATCGTTGCCCATCCCTGATAATTTTAATGATACTTTTATTCAGCAAGGATGCTTTCAATTCGATCCAAAATGACTGTGACATTTGTAATGTTACAAAATATTTCAATTTCAAATAAACGCTTTCTATTTATCAAATAATCCTGAAAAATGTGTCACAGTTTCCATTAAAATATGATGACTGTTTTCATCATTAATAATCATAAATGTTTCTTGAGCAGCGAATCCTCATATTAGAGTGATTTATGTAGGATCATGTGACATATATTCACATAGAAAACAGCTGTTTTGAATTGTAATACACTCTAAAAAATGCTGGGTTATTTTAACCCAACTTTGGGTCAAATATGGACTAACCCAGCCGTTGGGTTAATTTTTTACATTACATTTTTAACCCAACATTTAGGGTTTGTCCATATTTGACCCAAAATTGGGTTAAAACAACCCAGCATTTTTTAGAGTGTAATATTGCTAGTGTGTATGTTGTGTATGTGATGCTACTGTGATGATTGTGAATCCTCAGGACAGTGAGAAGAGGACGCCGCTTCACGCCGCTGCGTATCTGGGCGACGCGGAGATCATCGAGCTGCTCATCCTGTCAGGTATAAAGGGCCGTTTCCACATATAATATACCAATGCTTTTACATCGTCTGTTTTGAAAGAAGAAGAATATGCTCACTATATTCAGACCTCTCTTGTATGTGCTCCAAAATGCATCATTTCCAATTCCATCATGTTCAAAACTGTTTGAAAGTTTGGGGTGTGTTAGATTTGACTTTTAAAAAGAGACTTTTAAAAAAACTTCTGCTGATAATTTACTCACCCCCATGTCATCCAAGATGTCCATGTCTTTCTTTCTTCAGTCGAAAAGAAATGAAGGTTTTTGATGAAAACATTCCATATAATGGACTTCAATGGGGACCAAACAAATCTTTTTTTTTTGAGTCATTTGGTTCATTTGGTTCATTAAATGAACAAAATGACTCAAAAAGATTCGTTCATTTTGATAAACGAGTTTGAACAGGAGAGTCACGAACGCGCATCACAGAACAGAGCAAGGCGAGCATTTGAGCTTATAAAACTTATTTATTTATTAGATGAGCGATCGTTTCGCTTGATAAGACCCTTATTCATCGTCTGGAATCGTTTAAAGCCCTTTGAAGCTGCACTGAAACTCTCATTTGGACTTTGAACAATTTGGTTCCCATTGAAGTCCATTATGTGGAGAAAAATCCTGGAATGTTTTCATCAAAAACCTTAATTTCTTTTCGACTGAAGAAAGAAAGACACGGACATCTTGGATGACATGGGGGTGAGTAAATTATCAGCAAAAGTTTTTTTAAAAAGTGAACTACTCCTTTAAATATTTTTAAAATGCTTTTATTTGGTCAAAAATACAGTAAAAGCAGTAATAATGTGAAATATTTTTACAATTTAAAATCTGTTTTCTATGCAAGCTTGTTTCCGCCACAGAATGAAAAATAAAAAATGCAACAGTTCTGACTTTTTTTCTCACAATAGCATGATATAAAGTCAGAATGGATTGATATAAAGTCGCAATTGCATGTTGTAAAGTCAGAATTGTGAGATATAAACTATTCTGAGGGGAAAAAGTCTTTTTTTTAAGAAAAGATGTCAGAATGTTGAGATATAAACTCACAATTATGTGTTATAAAGTCAGAATTGCGAGATGTAAACTCAGAAAAAAAGTGAGATTTTTTATTTATTTTTTTTCTCGCAATTGCGACTATTTCACACAATTTGGACTTCGCAAAATAAAAAGTCGCAATTCTGAGAAGTAAAGTCGCAATTGCGAGAAAAAAAGACAAAAAAGACAAAAAATCATACTTTTTTTCTGAGTTTACATAAGTGGCAATTATTATAATATATTTTTTTGTATTCAGTGGCTGAAACAAGCTTCCATAGTTTTCTATGTGAATATATTGTAAAGTGTAATTTATTCCTGTGTTCAATCACTCCAGTCTTCAGTGTCACATGATCCTTCAGAAATAATTCTTATATGATTTTGAACATTTCTTATTATTATCAATGTTAAAATTATATTTCTATATTCCCAATATTCTTTGATAAATATATAAAGTTTAAAAGAACAGCATATATTTGAAATAGTCTGTTTGGTAAATAAACTTTACTGTCACTTTTGATCAATTTAATGCGTCCTTGCTGAATAAAAGAATATAAAAAAGGATAAAAAATCATACCTTCCCCAAACTTTTGAACGATAGTGCATCACCAAAACATCTTTTTAATGTGTTTTCATCTATCAAGCCCTTAAACATCCTAGAAACCCTTAGCAATCGCTTGTGACTGTGTGTGCTGTATATAATAGTGTGCAAATTACATCAGCCAGAAACCTTTCTAGATTTTGCACTCGAGCACTACATTGACACACTGACAAAACACACACACATCATGTGACTTCCAGTGTGAAGAGAAAGTGTCTGCAATCATGAATGACAGAGTAAAACTAACAGGTGTTCCTGTATTTTAAGCAACAGATGTGATCCCAGAGGATTGTGGGAGTTTATTTTCAACAGGTTTATGGGAAGCTCCATGTATCCTGCTTCAACTGTGACATTAATACCTGTAATTCATTCTGCACAGGGGCGAGAGTAAACGCCAAAGATAATAAATGGCTCACTCCTCTTCATCGTGCCGTGGCTTCCTGTAGCGAGGTACGTCACGTCCACGGGACAACAAATACACGCAAACACAAAGGGTTTCAGGCTCATCCGTTTTCTCGTTGTGTGTTCAGGAGGCCGTCCAGGTGTTGTTGAAACACTCTGCCGACGTCAACGCGCGGGATAAGAACTGGCAGACGCCGCTGCACGTGTCCGCGGCCCATAAAGCAGTGCGCTGCGCCGAGGCTTTAGTGCCATTGTTGAGCAACGTCAACCTGGCGGACCGTGCCGGACGTACGCCTCTACATCACGCGGCCTTCAGCGGACACCTGGAGGTCAGACGCTCACTCACACTGCCATCAATCATTAAAGCACAACACAAAGAATTAAAGAAAAGGGGAAACTTATCACAGACAAAAGACATATTCACTAGTGCTGGGTATTGACACAAATTTCACAATTCGATTCGATTTCGATTCAATATCGATTATTTTGGATATCAGTTACAATAAATGGCAAATTTTTCTCAAGGGAATCAAATCTCTTAACTAATGCTGTAAACTATGGGAGTCTAGTTGGGCTTCATTAGCCTAATATGAAGGCAATAATGAGCTGTTTTGTAGCTATACAAACACTTAAATTACACTTTTATTTATTTTTATAATAAAAAGATTATATGAAATATAAACATTTAAATGGTGGCTGTCATAAAAACTTGCCAGATTTATTCAAATATGCATTAAATATTGAAGAACATTAAGATTATAATGCATATGTAATATGGTGTATATATTTAGAGTTATTTTTTTCTAGCTGACTAACGAGTTTATGAGGGTTTTCTGAGGTAAATATGACGATACATTGATTACAAGCTGTTTAACTGACGTCTTTCCACGGTTGAAACGCTGATTGAGCGAATCAATGTGACATGATCCGGATTTGGATAAGTTGTACTCTATCTTTAACACACTTTCAGATGCTCGTTCATGTTTATTTGGCGCTGTGACTGGTATTATTAAGCCGGAAGAGAGATCAGCTCTGCTGCTTCTCCAGAGCGATCTCACGCCACAGCGACAAAACGCTATTTATGTTTTTGAATTTCTAAAGAAAATGGACGTAATTTGAAAATTGAGACTTTGTTTCATATCAATAGTAACAAAGGACAAAGATTAATGCGATTTATTGGATGCGCGCAGCCGCGATACAATGTCCCATTCATTCAAATGAAACAGGATGACTAATTGATTCTTGAGATTTAAGAATCGATATCGGTTCGTAAAAATGAGAATCGATTAATATCGAGAAATCGATATTTATTACCCAGCCCTAATATTCACTCCAAGAATGAAATAAGAAAGTCTGGTTGTTCAATGCAAAATACAGAAAAATAGTGTCTGATCATATCAATTTCACTCACATTAGTGTATTTTTCTAATTATACAGACCGACCTCAAACTTTTGAAAGCTAATTAAAATTTCCAAACAAAGTCATCTGAAAGTCATGTGATGACAGCCTCAGAACTAATCAATTAATTGCCACAAACTTTGCCCTTGTTTTTGCTCCTTTATATCTTCTTTCTTCACTGAGATCCACAGATTGAGTGCCGCTAGCGGACACATGACCCAAAAGCTGATGTATTATTGATCAGTCAGGCAGGCTCGGGGAAAACAACAAGGGCTGGCTCAAACAAACAAAGTCAAATAACATGAATTTCATTTTATTGGGATTTAAAATGAGGCATTTAAATGCATTTTAAGTGTCATTCGTCAAACTTGACACGTGTGCATGTGAAATCTTTAGTTTCTCTGTCATTGCAGATGGTTCAGTTGCTTGTGTCCAGAGGTGCAAACATCAACGCTTTTGATAAGAAGGACAGACGAGCTGTTCACTGGGCCGCATACATGGGTGACAAACATCAACATCAACATCAGAACCGACACAAAACATGTTTCTGTCATTGATCTGAAATCACTCACTCCCTCGCTCTCGGTCTCAGGTCACTTAGAGGTGATGAAGTTCCTGGTGTCACATGGTGCTGAGCTTTGCTGTAAGGATAAGAAATCGTACACTCCGCTTCACGCCGCTGCCTCCAGTGGAATGATCAACGTGGTCAAATACCTGCTGAATCTGGGCGTCGATGTGAGTAAGCCCCGCCCACACGCACATACAACTCAACACGTGAACTGTGCTTGAACAGCGCGAGTGGGCGGCGCGTCTTATAACACACACACAAACAGGTATTTTAACTTAAGCAATATTGTTAATAAGGTATAGTCTTCTCACTGACACAGTGGGTAACAAAATTTAAATTAATAAAAACTAAATTTGAATTAATAAAAACTAAATTTGAATTAATAAAAACTAAATTTTAATTACTAAAAACAAAATTTAAATAAATAAAACATAAAAACGAAATTTAAATAAATAAAAACGAAATTTAAATAAATAAAACATAAAAACGAAATTTAAATTAATAAAAACTGTAATAATAAAAAACAAATAACTTAAATATAGAAAATGAAATTTAAATTAATAAAAAACGAAATTTAAATTAATAAAAACGAAATTTAAATACATAAAACATAAAAATGAAATTTAAATAAATAAAAATGAAATTTAAATAAATAAAACATAAAATCGAAATTTAAATTAATAAAAACTAAATACTAATTAATAAAAACGAAATTTAAATTAATAAAAACTACAATAATAAACTAATAACTTAAATAAAAACGAAATTTAAATTAATAAAAATGAAATTTAAACAAATAAAACATAAAAACAAAATTTAAATTAATAAAAATGAAATTTAAATTAATAATAAAAAACTAATAACTTAAATATAGAAAAACAAAATTTAAATATAGAAAAACGAAATTGTGATGTGACGTCCCGGTAAAATCTCAAAGTCTCGCAGTAGATTCATTTAGATTGATAATAACGGGTAAAAAGGATAATACTTTTTGTTTCTATTATTCTATTTTCCACAATGTCAAAGCAACACAGCTTAACCCAAAACACATGCACCTCTGTCCACACGCGCTCTAGCCGGAGAATACTCCCGTTGCAGGAACACTTTTAGTAGTCCAAGAAGAAGCAAATGTATTTATTAAGTAGCTAACGAAGTTATATGTTAAGTTTTATATTTCACCAGATTTTAGTGTAAAACATATTCAAGTGCGAAGGAGAACCGTTTCGAATGGGATGCCAGGTGTGCAAACCCCCCCCCCCCCCCCCAAAAAAAAAACACGAATATTCGAATGTCAATTTTTGGTGCAAATAATTTTATTACCAGTATAAGTGAACATATTCATATAATTAAAAATCCATGTCATGACCAATTTAAATCATCTACTGTAGTGTTCAGGATATACGTTTATTAATACACTTAAGATTAAAATAACTTTTGAACCATTAACCAAATGATCTGTCTCTGTTAGATCAACGAGCCGAACGCGTATGGAAACAGTCCTCTGCACTTGGCCTGTTTTAACGGGCAGGACGTGGTGGTGAATGAGCTGATAGAAGCAGGCGCTGACGTGAACCAGGCGAACGAGAGGGGTTTCTCTCCGCTGCACTTCACCTCGGCCTCCCGCCAGGGGGCGCTGTGTCTGGAGCTGCTCGTGGCCAACGGGGCCAACGTCAACCGCAAGGTCAGGCACCTCTCTGAATGGTTCACACAGAACAGGTCAGTGGGACAGAAAAAAGAATAAGGTCTAGGCTAGAGTGTAAAAGTCAAACACGTCTGTCTATTGCGTGTTAAATAAAGGAAAAACATCGCAGTGGAATAGAAATTGCATTCAAAATGCATTTTTTTTTTTATTATTAATTATTAAT